GATAGAAATTAATTTCAGATAAACTACAAAGAGCTTGTTTTAAGAACAAAAATGATTTATTTTATTAAGTAATCTAAAGATGTGTAGTAAAGATGAAGTAGAATCTATAAATAAATTATCAATAAAATGATGACTGTTAGTATTGTTAGTAAAAAGTAAATGTTAGTAAATGTTAGTAAATGTTAGTTACATTCGTTCCATCATGAACTCCAATTTCAGAAAATAGAATCTTACTAGGTGATGAAAAATAAAGCTCAGCTCTTTGTCAGTTGTATCCAGTGTAGATGCCTAGTATCAACTTGTCGTAGATCTATAACGTTTAACTGAGGATTCCTATTAATTAAACCAAAAGTAAAAAGAAACTAAGTAAAAATGATTCGACTTAAATGATTCTCTCCAGTGACCGAATCCAGTAAGCTCAAGGATAACAACCGTACTGGCAATAGTATTAAAATTCCCCGCGTTAGGAACTTGTATAATTATTGGGCACCTAAGCACAAGCTAACGCTCTCATCCACTCAGATTGCGGAACGTCCCATTTTGGCGCCAAAAAGCCCTCCCATATCGACCAATGGCTAAGCCGTTCGACTCCTACATCTAAAAAAAATAGATCCGAACAGGCCACGAACGATTTTCCAATAAAAATCCCCCATATCTGGTTGTCTAAGTAACCGATATTATTTACCTAATTTAGTACTTTTTAACCTAAACATTCTGTTCCGGAATTGATTAAGAATTTAGTCAAAACCAAGCATGCACTGTGACGTCACTATTGACACAAAAATGAAAGTAAAATTTAAGTTTGCATTTCCTTATAGAAATAAAAGAGTCACCATGCATGTCATCAACTATTTGTAAAAGGTATATTGTCACTGAAATATATAGTTTGTATACATGCATTTATTGCATCATATCCGTTAATTATAAATATGATAATACGAAATGTCATTAGTTTTTCACGATCTGGTCAAATTATGCCGGTGTTTTAAAAGCAGCTATCTCTGCATACCCTGAGTATCAACATACCCAGTAAAACTTATCAATGTTATGGTTTTAAGTGTTTAAAGCATTTGTAATTTATAATGATGTGTTACATGTGTAAGAAAGAGTTCTATAACTGTAAACAAGGGGGGGGGGGTATTCATATTACAATATTTAGCAGTGCCACAGCACACGGTTTTCCTTTCCGAGGATGGCGAATATTACTTACACATTTATCAAAAGTCAAGGATAATCAAATGCCCTACAACTTAAAAAAAACAACAACAACAAAAACATTACTGGTTGGACAAATAATGTTGCATGAAATCCATCAAATAACGATTCAGACAAAGTTTGAATTCCATTGGACTTATCTGAAGAGGTCAATTTAAATTACTTCTAGTATCTTAAATAAATATAAAAACAAAAAAGGTAGACATTGCAAGTCTTCATTTTAAATAGTAATGTGTTTAAGATAATAAAATTAATGACATTAAATCGTATTTTGAAGATTCAAAATCAAAATATCGCTGCTATTATAGCTGAATAACGGAGATTTAGTTAGATAGTTTAAACAGAAAATAACATTATAGGTTTGAAAAATGAATACATAAGCTTTTTTCTAATTCTGGAAAGGGTAAAATAACTGAGTAACATAGAAATAATGAAAACAAAAACAAATTTTCGAAAATGATATATTCGTTTTTATATCATTTAAACATATTTTATTATTGCTCATTTTGGTACACATTTATAACAGTATATTATTATATTACATGGAATACAACAATTGCGTAAGGATCAGTAAACGGTTCTTCCTTGAACCTTTTTTTTACAAAGAATAAGCTGAAAAAGGATATCTATAAATATGAACTTTATAATAAAAAAGCTGTGTACTATTTAGTATATTCTAATATTAATCATTTAAATACAATCATAACTGGAAACTATTCGAATTTAGCACGTAAACAGGGGTTTATTTAATGAAAATGTTATAAATACAATTGCATTTCTTAAAAAGTATTTATCAATTCAACATACTTTTGCATTGTTTAATCTGTATGAACTCTTTTAAATAAAATCATCACAGTCGTGAAATCGATACGTTTATATAATCTATGTAAGATTTACTACAAGACGGGTAGAAATGCCTTCATTTCAAAACATGAGGATGCTAGATGGGATACGAGACAGGATATAAATTTAACAAGATTTAATTGGATGACCAAACTGTTATTGTTTGATCAATTAAGTGTCACACAATGCAGGGTAGGCGAGACGTTTAACGCCCTTTAGGTACTACAAAACACTTCTTCATCTGACACATTAATTATTTATAATTATTACTCCACCCCCTTCACTAAAGCAAAAATACGTTTTATGAGTATTTACTTAAATTGTAGAATGTAGGCGTAACACTTTCGTCAGTGTCAAATAATTATCTGCATACAAAAAAAAAGAAGATATTTATGATCATATATGTCGAGGAAAGTTTTATTTTAATAAATGTATAGTCACCATGCAAATATCTCAGGTTGACTCAAAACATGACTTGTGAGTTTTTACAAAGAAGAAAATGACGGATGTAAAACATCCCATAAACAGTTCTTTTGTACACATGTACTTCCTCCGATAAAATGGCTAAACAAAGGCAATAATAAATTTATTGATATTTTCCATTCCTATTTTGCTTTCTTTTTATAGGTAATATGTTGTTTCAAACATTTAATATCTAGGTTACGGGGCGGAAATCTCGACTCTAAGTTTCAATAGGTTCATAAGTATATATTTGATTGTGAAACGAGTTTCTATGTGTAACACTATTGTATTAAAGTTATCTACCGGGACAATGCGCATCTAGAAACAGAACCAAACCCATATTATTGCACTGTTAAAAATTCAAATAATAAAATGATTATAATGCTACCATATCTAATACTTATACATGTAATGATAACGATGACGATAAAAACGGTGTTATTACAAACCATTTGTCATTACAAAATCAAAACTATCATTTTTCTTCAAAATCTTTAAGATTATGTATTTAAAAAAAGGTAAATAGATCTACATATGTCTACGTGCGTGTGTGTTTCAGTAACCAGTACCTCCTCAAACTCGTTTTAAAACAGTATATGAGTATTAGATAAATCGGATGAACATCAATGCTAATAATTAATACAATTACATTATGTTTAATTTAAAATGATGATATGAATGGAATAAACTGAATTAGATAAAATACGTATTCACCACAGATAATTTGCGCATATCAACAACACCTTTTTGTTGTGATTAAACTTTGGAGGAAACAAGCACTTAATTTTTACAGATAAAAACATGACAAATATATTAAAAAGACTAATCCACCTTTGTTTATTAATAGCTTAATGTATGAGACATCAATTATCAAGGACTTCCTATATTGAAAAAAAGAAGACTAAGTCTTGTTTTCAAATTTGCACGATAGCTATCAATTATGAGAACATGCCTCTTCGGTTAATCACTGGGGCTTGTGTAGGAGGTTGTCGAAATAAAAGGACACGATCGAAGCACAATTTGTCACGTTCAGAAATAACCTAAAATTTTCTCTTGTAAGGCACAGCTAGGGAGGACAGTTATAATGGTGAGTTTCTTTCCTTATATTATAATACTTATGTTTGTATATAATGCTAAAATGACAAAAATGTTCAATTCGATAGTTCAGTAATGAAAAAAGTGGCATTTAATTAAAAATGATTAAATTATATGAATTACCAAATATTTATTTTGTACCATATTTCCTTGTTAGGAACCACTGGCACTCGTGCTGTTGTGAAATTTATTCACTCTAGGTCATCAGCTTTAATATATCTTAAGTTTCCACGGAAACGAAAGGAAAACACTTTAAGATTATATTGTTTCAAAAAAAAATCAACATAACATCAGTTTGTGCATTTGAACAAGAGTACTCAGATGACTGATAAAGGGTCAGTATGGAGTCTTTCTTTTATGTTCTAGTCCAAACCCAGATGAATAAAGGAAACTTTAGCTTGAGCCATGCGAATCCCTGGTAAAGCCCCATAGGGGGACAGGTCATTGCAAAATGCATCTGCTCTGCGGCTAAGACCCTGCACTAGCATTTATCCCTAGGGTGGCCATCTCACGTGACTTGTGATATCAGAAAAATGATATGGAGTTGCATGGCGGCACACATGAACAAAACGATACTTATTTTTATATTTTCCAATTTTCCAAGCTGGTTCTCTTATTTTTTTTTAAATTTCAAAACTAATTGAAGCAGTGGAAAGCACACAATTTTCTCTTTCCCCGGCACCAAAGTTTCAATCTCAAAAAGACGTACCGGGTATTTTGTTCAAACATTCGAACCGCGGTCTTGTAGCGATTTAAGATCTACGCATACAAGAAATGGTTGAATTTTATTTTATTCTTTGCTTTAATTTGCATAATTCTTGCTCCATGTGTTAAGCTTTGCCGGATAACGATGTCGTCCAGTTTGCAATGAAGATTACTAGATATACAAAACCGACCACGTTTATAGACGATTTACCGTTTACGTAATTTCTCACCGGAAATTGGTCATCCTCTACATTGGAGGCATCCCCGAACAATTGAAAAACCACAAAATCATTATCTTAAAATTAAAGCTACCCGAAGGCTGAAATTGTGAGAATGTGTGCTGTTATCAACTGTGCAAACCGCGACGATAAAGAAAAGGACCCGTTGTTACAAATCATGGAGATAAATGGGTTGGAAAAAGTGTGTCCCGATAGACGTCGTTTATGACTCGTAAAATTAAATAAGATTTCACCAACAAAAATCTACATAATATGAGAATATGTTCAGCACACTTAATAATTAGTAAATAATGATATAGATTAATCATAATTAATCATAATCAACGCAAGGTATTCATTTCTTGTTATAAACTCCTTTTCGGCTTTGATTTTTTTTTCCTTTGCTTTTTCTAAGTCAGTTTATAGACTCGAAATTCTTTTTTTGTAATCAGTTTGGTATTAAAGCGGAATCTATTTTTTTTACAAATCCATTTTATATGCAAAGGCTTAGAGGCAGATTTAGTTTTATTTCTTAATAACTCAAATCACCTAATTCCAGGGTAAAAATCACAGGTATTGATGTGAATCTAATAAAGAAGTGAAAACAAATATTCAACTTAGTTTGACCTTTTTCCGAAAATACCTCCCATAGAGATTTTGGTAATTAATATGCTTCTCTATTTTTCCACAAAATCAGGATTAAATGTTTTCTTTTTAATTTCCTAGATTATTTTATCACATGACTTTTAAATGATAAAAAAATTCTTAGGATGAATAGATCAAACATCAACATAATTTCTCATAACATGTTTCGCTATCACTTGAATTGAGAAATGAGGAAATGACGTAAATTACCAAACAGACGTCTATGATTGATCTTGTAAGTTCTTGCTGATAATCCATATTGTCCTTGCACTTTACAGTCTATCCCCACATTTTCATGTCACTGATGTTCTCTCATAGATATTATTTCAGCCGAAAATTTGCCTTAGATAAACGTTTGTCTCTTCTCCTCTTCATTTTCAGGATGTGAAATTGACTATTGTTTTATGTGTTTGTCTTTGGCTTGCGAATGCCTGTGAGAAATCTTCGCCAAAGAGATCAGACGGCCGAGGACCTATTAGATATCCATCTTACAAAAGATCAGTGAAAGATGAAGAAATAAACATACAATGGGTAAAGCAATTCTAAATTCTACGTAAATTAACAGCATACGATTTGTTTTGTTCATATTCTTACGATTATATGACCCTGTTTTTAAAATTATGCTTCATCGTTCAAAGTATGTGTTAAAAACAGTTATTTTTTATCACCTGACGTCTCTTTGTTTTCCTTGTTAACGATTACGTATTTCATATATCACACATTATAAAATCTAACCAATACACTTTCAGCATTTGCACCACGTGGTTTTCCAATTAAAATAATAATTGGATCCAATCTTATCAATTTAGCCTCGCCCAAAGCGTCCTTATCAAATTCAAAATCACACCCTTCATAGTCTCGTTTTCATTTCCAGAGTACTGAAGGTTCATATCAATTCCATATCACACCTCATATAGTCTCGTTAACATTGCCAGAGGCCAAAATGTTCATATCAAATCCATACTGCACCCCATCTAGCCACGTTTTCTTTTTTTGAGAGTCCAAAATCCATATAGAATCTTCATTGTATTTGAAGTATTAAAAGTTCTGTCAAAATTTAAAAATAGGTCTTGTGAAACAAAGAGGTCAATTAATATGGTTGAGAATAATACTGATTCTATTGGACTCGTACACAGCTGCGAAATCTATATCAAATTCGGCTTGCGCCTCGTCCAATATAGTATGGCAGATATGTATTCATATTGTACTTAACAATGTAGAATAACCTCATAATGTTACAAAAATGTAATCTATCACACGTATAATATTACTTCGCCGTGAAGCCATATGGCCTCGACGTTTCATTAGCGAAACTTCGTACAAAAATATTTCCATAATTTCAAAGCGTTTAAGTCATATAATTAAAAGATCTCACATTCGTAATATTTATCATATGATATAATGTTTATATTAACCTAGTTCAAAATATGTTTAATAAAAATTAACATAGATTTCTGTAGGTTTTGGTATAACTATGATAATGGTTAACATTTATAAAAAGTATTACATGCAATTGTTTATATGAAATAAAAATAGTAATATTGTATTATTTTAAAGATTATTGTATGATGTCTGTTATTATTGCAGGATGGTTATCACTATCACATTAAGCTAGATGGTTCATGTAGATTCAATACCTACGACACTGACCGTGACGGTACAATCAGCCGAGAGGAACTATTTGATATTCTCGGTAGCCATGAAGTAACAGAAGCATTGTTCAAGGATCTAGACGTCATGAAAGGTTTGGAATCTTACGTATTAAGAATAAAATTTTATAAATCGTCATCATCAGTACCTTTTCTGTATGAATAAATTTTGATCAAAACGATATTTTTGGAATATTTAATGCACACCGTGTCCGAAATAATGCATGAGAAGGCATGCGGTGTCTTCCTGTATCAGAAAAGTTGGGAGGACACCGCATGATCTTCAGATTGGTTAACTACTAAATAATTGCCCTTTAAGATATATAAAAACACACAAATACATGATTATATGAATTACTGTACCAGTTTTGTCATTTTTATCGGATAACATTATACGTGTAGTGAATTTTAAACTGAATTATGCTTTATTTTTATAGGTGATGGGGCGATTACGCCCGTGGAATTCGAAGCCACAGTCTCTTAAATCATATCCGGATGTTAACAGTTCACAAATGAACGTGAATTCAGATTAAAAATAGTTTTCTTCAGATTGAAGTGTTTCATATACACATTTTCCTTTATCATAAGTGAAAGATAAAGAGGATATTTGTCTGTTTTCGCATGTGAGATCGAAATATATTTCACTGATTATCGTTATAAACTTAATGAAACTTGTCTATAGCAAAGATTAGACAATATTATCTCAAGCTTGAAAAAACACAATAACTTCATTATCATTCAAAGAAAAAAATAAGTAAGAACAAGAACAAAACACTTCTACCCACATGTATAGTATCTTTTTTGTATCATTTGTAAACATGCAAATAAAGCATATTATTGGCAGATATGATGAATTAACTTGTGTTTCATAATTAAGATTTTTTTTTGCTTCGGAACCCCATTTATTGGAAAATTATACATACATGTACAATAAATATGCATAACATATGAAATGGTTTCAAATTTCAAGAACACACATACACATTTAATACAATTTTGGAAATTGAAGATACTATAACAAGTTACGTCAGGAGGGCATTATAATATAATAGTTTTACATTTATTTACATTGCATTATTACGGTGATGGTTTGATTCTATTTGATTTTAGAATTTTCGTTGTGTCATTTTCTACGGCATGTACAGTCTGTTACTATTTGTTGACGGTTGTAGTAAAACTTGTATCATTCATTGTCATGTAAACAAACGTTCGTTGTAACCATCATGTCTGTAAACGTGCTGCTGAGAGATAAAGACGGATTAAAGAACAGGTTTGTAAAATATTCTCCTTGAAATGTTCCCGCAATCACAATTGCATTTATATCATATATAGATACAAAAATGTGATAAGAGCATTAATTTTACTAAAGTATCTCTGAGACGATGTAGTTATTCAATGCATTTATCAATGGACCTGCACATCTTTATATTTGGAGCTGTCTCGAAAATTATATTTACTTACCAGTACATTATTGGCGTATTGCCATGATTTAAGGGACTTAATATCAATGATATTTTGAATGATAATTTACTGATAAGGATCAGGTGGAATACCACAAGAAAAACACACTTGTTGATGGTTCTTTTACTTTCAAATTGTATGACATTAACAAGGACGGATCACTAACATTAAAGGAATTTACTGACTAAATTGGTAACAACACGGAGTCCAAAAATTACAGACCTCGCCCCTGTGACTTTAATTTGTTTCCAGAACTGAAAAATTGCTTGCTGGAAAGAAATATAAAACCAGGGCGGCTTTGATATCTGCTGTTACACAGTACCTAAAACATAGGTCTACGTCATGGTTCACAGCGGGAATACACAAGCTCCCACGAAGATGGCAAAAGTGCGTAGACGTAGGTGGAGAATATTTTGAAAAAGAGTAGAAAGATTTTTTTTTAAATGTTGAATGGTTTTCGAGAACGAGTCAAAATTCCGGATATTTTCTGACTTCTCCTCGTATAGCGACATTCTGTCTTTAGTTACCATTGTTAGGTGCGCCGAATAGTATTTACTATATACATGATCTGCATGTAGCGACTCCCTGTCTAGTCCGTACAACGACGATGATTTAGCGTCTCCCGTTACGGTATATAAGCCGGGCAAAGCGACATTTGCAAGGAGAGTAACTCAAATATTGTTACTTATTGTAAAAAAATCGTGAAACTTCTGTTAAACAAATTGTTTTATTCACATTTATAAAATATAGCTTGCTATTTGTATGATGCCATTTGGCAAATAGAAAAAAACTGATAAATTTACAGTTAATGGTTAAGGTAAAATATTTGTCAAGATAAACAAAAATGTGACAAAACAAATTCAGGGCATTTAGTGCTTTGATTATGCATGAACATTGCCTTCTAATACAGTTCATGAATGCTTTACGACCAAATTTAGACAAGAGGGTCATGGTGGCACTGAATTGCACACCGAAACAACTGTTTTTCAGTGATGGAAATAATGTTTCAAATAAACTTGTGGAAAGACAACTGTCCAGCTCAACTTCAACTTGCCGTTATAAAGGTTCCCGACACTGATTGTTTATTTTTCTTCATAGTAAAAAAATAATGATTGGATTGTAACCTTTCACAAATGTCCCAAGTTCATTGTTACTGTTCATCTGGTAGGTAAAACATATTGACTTTGTTACTTTATTTTTCTTTTTTCAGCCCAGCAGCCCCTTAACTGGGACAGATCAAATTAATATGAGCAAACTTGATTGATATAAAAAAAAACTTTAAGAATGCTACAGACAAAGTTTGGTGACCATCCATCTATCAATTTGTGGTAAAATTTGCCTATGACTTATCGTTGACATAATATAAATACATAAGCTCAGTATTTAAATATACATGTAAACTGTTTGTCAGGATGATACTACAAGTTGATATTTATTTTAGATAACATAGGTATACTAGTCAACTTGATCAGAGGGTTAACGTTTCAGGTTGAATTATCCTACTCTGCAATAGAAATAGGAAAAAATGAAACTTTAACTTTTATGTATATAGGCTTTAATTTGAATGTGTTAAGTATCGTTTCCTGAATAGCTTAGTAGGTAGAGCGCAAGGCTGATAATCGCGATGTCGTTGGTTTGATACCTACTCATGCCACTATCATTTTTAATAATTTTATTTATTTTATGTTTACATTACGGAATCCTATTTCGTCCACATTATTTCGCTAGTAACACGCGATAATTATCGCCTCTAAAGGGCGAAATTTAGTACTAAATTTCGCATGTCTTAAATTTCGCTAGTCTCTCACGCGATAATTATCGCCCTTTCAAAAGACCAGAGACACTTATACTAGCGAAATTTAACAATTTCGCCTCGATAATTATCGTCTTAATTTTCGTATGTTGTGTGTTTCTCACGCGATAATTATCGCCTTGAAGGGCGTTAATTATCGCATGAGAGACTAGCGAAATTAAATACATGCGAAATTTAGTAGCAAACTTCGCCCTTCGAAATTATGGCGGGAAAAAACACGTGTTAACGGTGTTACGGTAACACTGTGCTGTGTCTTCACCGGTAAAAAAAACGGGGTGTCACTTTTTGCAATCGTTGTCATCTTGGTGAAGGGATCGTTGTGAAGGTGTGCTACCACTAAATTATCACATAGTTTTATAGCGTTATTCTCTCATATAAACTGGTATTCATTTGTGTTTGAACGTGCATTGTGCTTGTGTTATAAGCATAGAAATTGATATTTAAAAACAGTTGGATTTTTTTCATTAGGGCATCTAAATTAATTTTTAAATCTATATATTGGTATAATGATAATGATTAATTAAGTTTTGAAAATAAAATCATTTGTGAATTCGGTTAATTCCAAAACATAAATTAACAGGGATTTTTAAAGTTCGTTGGTTAATTTGCAAACAAATAAAAGTTCATTTTTATATAAATGGTTTTACCAGAGGTGACTATAAGTTTACCCTCCGTCCTTCCGGGCTACCGAAAAGAGGTGGGGGATGACTTAACTGTAAACAGAACACAAAAGAACAAAAGTCCATTCCGTAACAAACGAATAAGTGGCTCTTTGCCCTCTATTAAACAATAGAAATGGCCCCTTATTCCAATCTGGCCGGATGTCCGTCCTTCCGTTTGTGTCACGAACACACATTTTTTTAGGAAACATTTTCAAATTGTGTATATGACTTGTAAATCATGGTTAAATATGTGCCAGTCACACTTATCATTATACTGTTAATAACTTACATTACATTATTCACGTTGCTAAAATAACGTAATATAGGCACAGACTAAGTAAGATTTGAGGCGAACTACTCATACAGTTCTCTAGCAAACATTTTAAAATTTAGTATATGTCTTTCAGGTGGGTTGAAGGTGTGCAGGCCATATATTTACTGCTTAATTTGTAATTACGTTACTGTCTTTTTTGTTATCGAACAATATAATACATTTTCGCTACAAGTTTATGTCACAAACTTCTCCCACAGTTTTTTGAGCAAACATATTCAGATTTGGAATATGTCTTGCAAATGGGATGAAGATGTGCAAGACTCATTTATTTTCACTCTGTTTTGTAATTTACGTTACGCCATTTCCGTTACCATATAACATAATGAAACTGCTGTGTATGTTTGTGTCACCAACTACTCATACAGGTTTTCATCAATCATTTCCAAATTTAGTTTGTACGTAAAATGTGCAAGACACATTATACAATTGCTGGGCAAGCACTGAAGGGTATTTTCAAAATGGATAAATATTTATATAAATTCACAGATATATCTGTAAGGCATAAATTGGATCTTTTCGAATAAAATGATATTACCTATTTAAAAATTATGGGAAGTGAAGTATGGGGTTTTTAATCAAGGCAAGGCCGTAGAACGTTTTACATATGCAATTTTGCAAAAGACTATTTAGGAGTAAAGAAAACACACAAAACGACTTTATATATGGTGAATTAGGAAGAATGCCTTTGCAAAATATGAGATATTATAACATTATAAATTTTGGATAAAATTGTTGACTACAGATGAAAACAAATATATTAAGAAGGTGTATTTAATGTTGAAACAAGATATTATTGAAAAACCCAAACAGAATAAAATTGGTGTTCATTATTGAAAGATTTATTATGTACTCTTGGTTTTTATGAAGTATGGTTATTTCAGACTGTCGGAGACTCTGAACTTTTTTTTATATACTGTGAAACAAAGATTAAAGGATCAGTTTTTTACAAAACTGGTCTGGTAGACTAAATAACTCAAGTAGAGCTTTGTTTTATAAATACATTTTAAAACCACAGATTTCAACCATATCTTGATTTGGTAAACGTTAAAAAAATTCCGTGTTTGTTTATCACGATTACGCGTATCATCACATAGACTTTTTATTGAAAGTGGCCGATGGACTAGACCTGTTAGCACTCCAGTAAATGAACGGAAATGTACTTTTTGCGATAAATTAGAAGACGAATATCATTTTGTTTTAGAATGTGTTTTATATAATGATTTGAGAAGACAATTTTGTACAGTCTATTATTACAGACGACCA